ACCAATCAGATAAGAGTAAATGGAGAGTCAGCGAGAGGCTCATTTGATTGGCTACAAGAAGAAGGTGGACCCGCCCTCGCCCTCACGCTTGCAAAACTCAGTTAGTGAGAGAATCGTGCCAGAATTGTAAGCGCAGAGAAAAGAAAGACGGAGCTGTACATATCGGTTTATCTCGGGAACTTTTGCCCCACATGCACAAGTCATTTAGACATTTGTAACAGTTTGTTTTTTAAACATACAGATTGGTTCTATGCAGTCAATCCGTTCTGCAGTTCTTTAAACTGTTGTTTTCGCTTGCAAATCACTGTTCACAGGCCTGCAGTAATTTTGACCGTATTTTAGTGAAAACAACGAGCCAAAAGTGTAAGTGCGGATCATATTTATTTTGCGTTAGCATGAAGCTGCAGTTTCACAATACATGAATTACACTTACGAGTAACAGTAAAATGCTGCAAATAATTTTTTCTTATGCTTGAAACGCGATTTACACCTTTACAAAGCATCTCTTGCACATGTAAATTTAATTGAGCTGGCTTGAAAAAGCCAGCTTACTGAAATCCGATTTAAACTTATTTTTCTTCTGAGACCAAATTTTAAAATGTATCTCCTCCTAGACTTTTAAAGCTACAAACACCAAACTCAGGGTCAGACCTTCAGACTGGTCTGCCTCGGGTTGCTATACCTTTTCTAACTGATCCGGCTTATGGTTTTCGTAAACCAGACTATCAAAACCACCTAAAATCCCATAGACTTTCACTGAGGGGGTGAACATTTTACACTTATGGTGTATTTAAAGCTGCAGTCTATAACTTTTTTTGGTTAAAGATGATCCAAAATCAATATTTGAGCGAGTACATAACCAGCCAGTGTTCAAAACTATCGCCTTACTTTAGCCCATTTCACAGCGGTTATCTTATAATAATGTTTTCTAATTTGAGTGGTACGGGTAGGTTTTCGCGGGAAATTCGAGCATGGCACTGCGTCATTACGTCACTTCTGTAAACATAAAGAAGTTGTCCCGGCTACTAGGCTATCGCATGTGAGGATCCTGCAGGTGGCCAATCATTTATAGCCTTTTCTCACAGCAGCTAGAATAATTAAATGTCAAAAAATTACTTTGATCGTGGATTGTAATCCAGAAAGGATTATATGAAACACATGTGAATGAAATTAAATTATATTCCAGTTTTAAATGTGCTTCTGATTACAGACAGCCTGGAATTACACAAGATTTGTATTTTAAAGACAACCAGTTCGAAGGGAGCATAATTTGCTTTTTGGGTTAAAAGAATTTCTTGGTATGAAATTCAAATTGTATGACAATTAAGAGATTAGACTGTACAGAAATTTAAATCTACACACACACTATACTCATACTCACGCAATGCTGATGTTGTTAACATTAATAATCTGAGAATAAAGTATAACAATAATAATAATAATAATTCGCACGGTTTGATCATGTGATATGAGCTAATCGATCATTAGATGAAATCACCATTGGTAGCACGATTTATTGTAATGCTTTTTTCCTCAGTTGGTCAGAACAAACGTGGCAAACTTGTTACTTACTTGTTCAGATGACAATATACGGTGAAAATTCTTATTTGGGTCATATATTCCAAGACGTAAGCTAGAATCTGTGATGACTAAGTATAGGATTCACACCGGTGCGGTGACTGACTGCCACACATACTCCTCAAAACATTAGATTCATCCGCGCTGGAGCCGTGCCAGAGTACAACCAACGCAAGGAAGATAATTCTGCAAGTAACTGCAATTCTAAAAAAATGCTAGTAACATGTTAATAATGCTAGAATCATGCTAACAACATGCAAGTAACTTGATAATCATGCTAGAAACATGCTAGCAACTTGGTAAACATGTTAGAAACATGCTAGCATTGTGCTAGTAACATGTTAATCATGCTAGAATCATGCTAGTAAAATGCTAATCATGCTATAATCATGCTAACACTATGTTATTAACATTCAAATCATGCTGACAACATGTTAGTAACATGCTAATCATGTTAGAAAACATGCTAGTAACATGTTAATAATGCTAGAATCATGCTAACAACATACAAGTAACTTGATAATCATGCTAGAAACATGCTAACAACTTGGTAAACATGTTTGAAACATGCTAGCATTGTGCTAGTAACATGTTAATCATGCTAGAATCATGCTAGTAAAATGCTAATCATGCTATAATCATGCTAACACTATGTTATTAACATTCAAATCATGCTGACAGCATGTTAGTAACATGCTAATCATGTTAGAAAACATGCTAGTAACTTGCTAATCATGCTAACAAAATGCTTACATCATGCTAGTAACATGCTAATCATGCTAGAATCATGGTATCAGCATGTTAGTAAACTTGTTAATTATGTTAACAACATGCTAGTAACATGTAATCATGCTAGAAAAATGCTAGTAACTTGCTAATCATGCTAACAAAATGCTTACATCATGCTAGTAACATGCTAATCATGCTAGAATCATGGTATCAGCATGTTAGTAAACTTGTTAATTATGTTAACAACATGCTAGTAACATGTAATCATGCTAGAAAAATGCTAGTAACTTGCTAATCATGTTAGCAACATGCTAACCATGTTAGAAACATACTAGTAACATGCTTATCATGCTATCAACATGCTAGTGACAGGCTAATTGTGCTAGCAACATGCTAGTAACATGTTAAAAATATGTTAGCAACATGCTAGTCATGCTAGAAACAGCCTAGCAACCACCCCAGGTACCCTAGCAATGTGTTTTATACCTATCTGTTTTTCTGATTAACTTTATTGCCTTGAAAACATTCAAACTTTAATCTTTAAAACTATTTTAACTTTTAAACTACTCCAAACTGAAAACTTTCAGATTGCAAGCTTTTAAAACTACTTCAAACTTTCTGGCTAGGCTTTTTCAAGCCAACTTAATGTTTGTCTACAAACTTTACTCATCTAGGTTATGCTTACAGTCTTATGTACACTTCCACAACTCCTACCCTTCGTTTGCAAATCTTTTAGGCATTATTTTACCTTCATAGAAGAGCTGTTTCAATATCACTGAAGGTTTGTAAAGCTAAATACATGAAAACAAAACAACCTTTTCTATACTAAAAGCATTTGTGTTTTCTAATCAATCAATATAAAACTATTAAAGGTGGTTCAACACAAGAACAACAAAAAGAGCAGAAGTACATACTGAATCCTGTGGGGGAAGTTGCTTTTCCAGTACTGACACGACTTTCCAGACTTGGTGACAGACATACTACCAGCATAGTTTTCACCATTGTTAATGTAACAGTCTCCTGTCAATCACATGTCCAACTTATTTTACAACACAGAAACTAAAGCTTTTACCAAAAACGTCTCATTTTAGTTTTATAGACATATTCTTGTGTATGCATCAACCTTACCCTCTGTATTCACACATACTCTCAAATGGTTGATGTTAGCTGGTGTTCTGAATAATTTTGTTCCCCCACATCCTGTGAAAAAAAAGAAGAAGAAAAAAACTTGTAACAAAACTAACAGACTTATGTAACAGTCTAACAATTTCTTAAAGGGGTCATATGATGCGATTAAAATTTTTCCTTTCTCTTTGGAGTGTTACAAGCTCTTGGTGCATAAAGCAGATCTGTAAAGTTGCAAAGACTAAAATCTCAAATCCAAAGAGATATTCTTTATAAAAGTTAAGAGTCAACCACGCCTACCTAAAACGGCTCGTTCTAACACGCCCCCACATGTCTACGTCACAATGTGGGAAGATTTGCATAACGCCGCCCAAATGTTCACGCAAAGAAAGAAGGCTTAACTTTTTTTCTCGCTGTAGTATTGTTGTTGCCGCCGCCGCTATGTCATGAAGGCGCTGAGTGTTTCGTTGTGAAAGCAAAACTACTTTGTTTGGCCTTCCAAAAGAGGACCATATATCACAAATGCAGACATGGTTTTATGTTTACGCGGCGCGATGCAACGCAACGCGTAAAAAGACAGTATACGTCATTATAATCCGTAATTTTTATTTTATTTATTTATTTATTTAGTCATTTATCAGACAATTTTATTCAATGCGACTTACAAATCGTCTCCTCACAGTAAACAAAACAAGCATTTCCTAGCAACGACAACTGCACTACACACTAATGAGACAAGTAAATACACTTACAGCTGCTTTTAACTTCCGCTGATAAAGACTGCTTCTCTCAGAGTATTTCTTTACACTGTTTTCTGCTGGCGCTTGAACACACTTTCCTTATTTTCTCCACAACAAATGGCCAAGCAAGCGCAGACACTGAGAAGATACGCGATACAGAACGAGACCAAACGTGATATCAGCACTTCTCCAGGTCTCAAATGTTACGCCCCTTAACACACTGTGATGCCGTCTCTCGGCACGGCGAGACAAAACCAATAAAACCCATTATAAACGAGGCATTTGTTGCATCCTTTGGAAGGCCAAACAAAGTAGTTTCGCTTTCACAACGAAACACAGCGCCTTCACAACATGGCGCCGGCGGCAACAACAATACTACAGCGAGAATCAAAGTTACTCCATCTTTCTTTGCGTGAACATTTGGGCGGCGTAGTGCAAATTTTCCCACACAGTGACGTAGACATGTGGGGGAGTGTTTAAACGAGCCGTTTTAGGAGGGCGTGGACAAGTCTTAACTTTTATAAAGAATATCTCTTTGGATTTGAGACTTTAGTCTTTGCAACTTTACAGATTTTCTTTATGCACCAAGAGCTTGTAACACTCCAAAGAGAAAGGAAAAATTGAAATCGCATCATATGCCCCCTTTAAAGCAAGACATTGAAGGCAAAAACATTGTTTTTTTTTTTTTTTGGGGGGGGGTAATGCACTGGACAATTTTGACATTTTAGGCTATTTGGCTTTTCATAAAGTGTTTCAGATCATTGGAAAGAAAACATCAAAAATACATCTATAAGTCTGTATTTTATTCCACTTCATCTGTCTGCTTCTGTAGATTTCAATATATTTTAAAGGCCATTTTCTCAAAATGAGTTTACTCCTCGAATGTTTTTACAGAGGGGTTTGTATCATATATCAATTGCCTGATTTTGCACTTTGTCTTTTTGCATCTGTAGATTTCAATTTCAATACATATATTTAAAGGGGTCATATGATGCTGCTAAAAAGAACATTATTTTGTGTATTTGGTGTAATGAAATGTGTTTATGCGGTTTAAGGTTCAAAAAACACATTATTTTCCACATACTGTACATTATTGTTTCTCCTCTATGCCCCGCCTTTCTGAAACGCGTCGATTTTTACAAAGCTCATCGGTCTGAAAAAGCGAGGTGTGCTGTGATTGGCTAGCTATCCAGTGCGTTGTGATTGGCCGAATACCTCAAGCGTGTGACGGGAAATTCTCCACTTCAGCAGCACTTACATACACCAAATTTTACCATTTTATTCCTATCTATATTCTGAAGGTTTTTACAGAGGAGTTTGTTCATTTATAAGATTTTATTATTGCCCTTTATCTATTTGAGCCTGTAGATTTCATTTATAATACATATCTTTTAAAGGTTGTTTTCTCAAAATGAGTTTTTTTTTCTCCACTTCAGCAGCACTTACATACACCAAATTTTGCAGATTTATTGCTATCTACATTCCGAAGGTTTTCATAGAGGGATTTATTCATATGTTTGCCTCATATAACAGTTTATTCCTAAAACATGGTCAAATGTGTTTTTTTTCTTATTTATGGAGTGATAAAATCAGAAATCTAAAATCCCTTCAAAACCTTTTACTCTAATATATCAACAAAATTAAACAACACTGTAAAATCCAATAGTTTACCTTACTTAGATTTAATTAGTAATCTTTACTTAGTTGTTATACTTACTAGGTTTTATTAAGTTACAGCTACTCTCAAGGCAAATAAAACAATTTACTTACTGTCTTGAGTGACACTTGCTTAAAATATTCAAGTAGCCACAAAGGAACCAATGATATTAATAAAGCAGTGAGAGGCAGCAGTGCACTAATATGTTGCTAATGTGCAACATAACAACAGAAGAAGAAAAGAAAACGAGTCTTAATAGACTTTTCACCCATTTCCTCCATGTCTGCAGTTATCTTTCACTAGTTGCATTCACTCGTTTCCAAAAGTCATCTTGAATGTTGAATTTTCAACACAACTGAAATATTTGAGAGAACATCACATAAGCTAACTTCATATTCAATTGATGTTGATTTTCCTAAAATGCTTTTTTATTTTTTTTATTCACCATTATATTGACTAGCGTTCCCTTTGGTTGGGCACTTGGAACTTTGTTTACGTTATTATAATTATCTTCCTGTTAATGCAGCAATGCATCGTGAAGGTAGAGTAATTTGGCTTCAAGGGAAGAAAAGTAATAAATAGGTTGCTTTTAGAAGGTGACTTATCTTCTAATTAAATTAATGTGTTATTTTAATGTGCTAGTGTTAGTCAATGAACTTTTGTAAAATTTATTTTTCAAATATACCATAAGAATCTCAAAATTGGGTTTATATAATTCTTAAATAGTGTGTGGTAATGTGCTAAAGTCACACACAGACTTAAACATTCAGCACATGAATCACAACAATGGTAACAATTCAATTTCATTTATTTTTATTAATTGTAACAATAACTTTTATTCGCTCTTTTTGTTGTGCTACTTCTGACACAAGACAGCAAATAAAATTGGCAAATAAAATCAACAACTGTAAAACAAAGCAACTGCATAATTTATTCATGCCGCAATGCACTCTGGGAGTCAGTGAGTAGCTATACTAAGTCATGAGTAAACCTAAATGAAAGGATCAAGTACCCCCTACCGTTCTTTTTTAGTTACTAGCGCTCTTGTGTAAGTAAACTAGAATAACTAAGCATTTGTCATTACAACATACTATTCCTATTTCACTTTACTTAGTTTTTTCAAGGCAATCAGGTTGCATGCTTTTTTTAAGTAAGCCCAACTAATTAGATTTTACAGTGAAGAATTTTGAACCTGAAAGACGTCTGTTCTGGAAATGTATGCGAATGAGTGCATATTTAATTAGATAATGCCTCAGTTGCATATTTAGACATTACATTTTAGAATGAGTGATGTTTGTGAGACTGCAGATGCCGCTGCAGACTCTGCATCATTGTGTATTTGGCTCCGCACACCTGGCAAACATGTGGCTTCTCCTCTAGGGGAGACTTCACGTGGCGCCTTAGCTTGGTTGCCATCGTGTACCCTTTCCCACATTGTTCGCATTTATAGGGCCTGTCTCCCGTCTGCAGTCGTTCATGGGCCGGCAATTTGTGAGGGTCCCGTAGAGCCTTACCACACACAGGACACAAATACACCTCACCCGTGTGTGAAATCAGATGCCGGCACAGTTCAGGAACTTGGGAAAAGCGCAGTTCGCAATGGTCGCACTGGTAGGGTTTCTCTCCCGTGTGGATGTGCATGTGTCCCAGCATATTGCCACGTTAGCGAAAGCTCTTGTCGCAGTGCTGGCAGACGTACGGACGTTCTCCGGTGTGCAGGCGCATGTGGTTCCTCAAAGAACCAGAATTGGCCAGTTCTTTATTGCACTCTGGACACTTGACTTTGGGACCCTGGTAGTCCGGCTCTTTCGTCCGATGGACTTCCCTGTGGACGCGTAGCGAGGGCCGGCGAGCGAAAGCTTTGCCACAGATGTCACAGACGAACGGTTTCTCGCCAGGAGTGAAGAACCTGGTGCTTCTTGAGGTCCCGTTTCAAGCCGTAGCTTTTGTCACAGTGCTGGCATTGAAAGGGCCACTGACCGCGATGCATCAGCAAGTGGGCTTGGAAGCTCTCCGGTGAACTGTATGTTTTACCACACTCTGTGCACATGTAAGATTTGTGTTTCTTCAGATGGCAGAGCTGAAAGAAGCTCTTGTCACACTCGTCGCATTTGTGCTTCCTCTCTCGGATAACAAAATGGAATGCTAATGAGCTGGAATCCTCATTAGCATACAATGTCTGCATTGTGTTGTCTTTGTTATCCGAGAGCTTCCTCTTGCTGCTGAGGTCTGACCTGTTTTTTGGATCTTGTCGTTTGTAGATAAGGATGGTTGATGAGTGCACTTTTCGAGGTTTAGCAGCAAGACGAGAGCTGGCTCTCAGGCTTCTCTCTGGCTTCAGATGTTCTGATGAACTCTGGGCTTGTGATGTACTATCACTGATGCTCTGGATCTTATCTCTAGCAGGATGTTCATCACTTTGCTGACCTTCACCGTCCCCATGTGCCTCATCTACCCCATTCTGCTCCAGGTCACTGAAATTACATGCTCTAGACTCCTGCACAAGATTTTTCTCCTTGATTGGAGGTTTTGTATCCTCTTGTGTGGCACTTTGAACAGGATCTGTTAGAATACAAACGTTTCCACATTTTACAAAGAACAACATCATATCATGGACCTCTTACACAGTGCAAATATTAAGTATAAACTCACCTGCACAGTCTGAGAGGTGATCTAATGTGATGGCCTCTAAAGTATCTTCTTGTTCTCTGTTTGGAGTACTACTAATTTCACAGGCTTTTAGTTGCATTAGTTATTTTTCAAGAGGGGCTTCTTCTTCTTCTTCTTTTTCTTTCAAGAGGAGCAGTTCTGTTCCTGGTTGAATGTCTCGACAGACCCTAAGGCCTAATTTTCCATCCACCTCGAGCACACTGACATTGCTCGCTTCCTCACTTTGAGCACTGCAGGCAAACCTGTGAAGGCAATTAAACAAGTCTCATTCTGCGATGTCTTGATATGTCACTTAATAGTTCTACTAAATATAATAATTAATGAATTCTGGGTAAACTTACCTCATCCAGTAGATTTAATCTGAGATAAAAAAAAAAATTAACACATTTTGGTATGTATGTTGAATCCCCTGGATAATAAGAACATGCATTTACTTCTTACTTGGGGCTATTATTCAACTAAACACAGTTAAAAAAAGAGAAAAAACTATAACATGCTTCTGAAAATATAAAGTACTTGCAGTATTATTAGGTGAGAAGTAAATGTAAAAGCCACTATTGTCTTGGAACACATTTGCTGTAGTGCTACTAAACAAGCCTTTGTCTCAGCTGTATGGTGCAAAATGAAATTTGAAACACACTATGCATACCTCAGCTTTTCCCTTCCTGTTTATTTTGTCAGGTTCCTCCAGGCCTAGCAGAGTGCCTTTCTGCAGCACTCACCTAACACACCACAGACCTAGCTGTCCATCTTCGGCCAGAGAAGGACCCAGGGTCAGCCCTCGTGGTACTGATCTCAGCACGATGTGGATGGAGTCTCTCATGTTCCCAGAGCCTTTATCCCTCTCAATGCCTGTAACCACTAGATAAAAACACACCACAATTAGACAAGGTGGTACTCACACACTTTCATCTTGAAAACTGTAGCTCAGACAATTTAGTGATAAAAATGGGACATTTTTTTTATTAAATGCAGATATAGATGGACAGCACTTACAAAACAAACTACTAGTTATTGATGAATTATTGTTATTGGGCTGTTTTCATTTTTAATTAAATTAACTGAAATTTTCTTTCTATTTCTTTTTTTATCAGATACATCAGACAGATTGATTTCTAAATGGTTTCTTATTTCTTACTGTTTGAAGGAAAGTCTGTATTAATTTATTATGGTTTTACAGTAATAACAATGGTTGTAACTACTGGTAATTTTTGTACTGTGAATGTCATGGTTAGATGCAATACGGATTAATGCAGTTCTTAATTGTTAAATGCAACAATTAAATGTTAAATTTTTAGAATAATTATGGTAAATTTACGACTTTGGTAACCTTTCACGTGATAATTCTGTTTGTAAGTTTATAAAGCAATGTGCCGTTAGTAAACTATAAAGCATTATGGGACAGATGCTGCAGATGCAGATGCAGACAAAATATATTCGAAGATGAATATCATTGTGCAATGCATTCCACATCTTTCGTAAGTGAAATAAAACATTATGGAGTAAAGCGCATTGTCCAATACGTTAGATCCCCAGCAAATATTGTTTTTGCTGTGTATCTTTAAAGCGTCTTCATAAATGCACAGAGCTAAAAACCAGCGGTCATCTATTTCATCTAGTTGGTAACTGGTTGAATCTGAAAACATAAGCATGAGCATAAACACTTTCAACCAACTAAGGGCTATATTTCCTCTGCGCAAAGTGCGCATTGGCCGCTGGACGGTCTTGTTTATCCATCCAAAACTCCGGGAAAGTTATCGTTCTCCAGCCAACAGTGCATCCACCGGAAGTCAGGTAGCTGACTGTTACAGAGAAACGGTCCCCTCTAGAAACAGCTACCGCTGCTCTCGCCCTCACCAAAGAAAGCTGAAAATCATTGGTTTGGAATGTATGTTAAATAAGATGTTCATGGATGTATTATAAAGGCTTTTAGCAGATGTTTTTAGCAAGTGTCGTATATACATTCACAATTTGAGTTGAATTACTGAAATAAATGAACTTTTCCACGACATTCTAATTTATTGAGATGCACCTGTAGATGTACCTTGGCTTGCCGTTTATGTTTTTTAACTAACGTTACTGAACTAGGAGAACCCTTATTTCCGATCTTTAATGGTCTTTCCCTGAGCTACGCTTTATTCTTTAAATTTAAAATGTTTAATTAAATCTTTTAAAATTTAACTAGACTGTCAAAACAAATGCAGACGAACTTTCTAGCACAAGGTGGAGCTAGAGTCACATCTCTGCTTTACACGCCTGCAGTCGGTAGAGGAGCACAGCTAGGGCACAAGTACAGACAAACATTTTTGTGGAAGGTTTGACAAAAACAATGGTTATAAGTATACTTTAAAGTATAAAACACCACCACATTCTGATGTAGTGTTTGTTTGTATTTTAAGTTTAGCACTTTCATGCCTATTTTAAAAATGGGGGGTGAGTTAAGGGGTTAAATGTTCTCATGCTGGCTATTCACAATTTGCCTACAGAGAGTACAAATGCAAAACATATCAGATCACTTAAATTTACAGCTTTTATCATTCTACATGTTTCAGTTCTACAAGTTCTAAATGGCATAATATTAATTTCCTTAGAAATGCACAATATAACAGCACAATAACTTTTCAATGCCATTAGAGTCTATCAGAAACTGAACTATATCTTTTTGCAATGCCATTAGAGCCGCTAGCATTTAAAATAATAAATACATACATATGCTACCAGTCAAAAGTTTCTGAACTGTAAAATTGTAATGTTTTTTTTTTAGGAATTGTCTTCTGCTCACCAAGCTTGCATTTATTTGATCTAAAATACAGGAAAAGCAGTAGCTAATATTGTGAAATACTTTTACTAGGCCTATTTAAAATAACTGCTTTCTATTTGAATATATTTTAAAATGTAATTTATTCCTTCAATCAAATCAAAATTTTCAGCATCATTACTTCAGTCTTCAGTGTCACACGATCCTTCAGAAATCATTCTAATATGCTGATTTGCTGTTCAAGAAACATCTTTTATTATTATTATTATATTATTATCATCATCATCAATATTTAAAACAGTTGAGTACATTTTTTTTCAGGATTCTTTGATGAATAGAAAGATCCAAAGATCAGCATTTATCTGAAATAAAAATCTTTTGTAACATTATATACTATACCATTCAAAAGTATAAATTTTTTAATGGGGGGGGGGGGGGGGGGGGGGGAAAAAATTAAAA